AAAAATTAATACAAATTTGTATAAAATATATAATAAAATAAATTTGGAGAATAATTAAAGAAGAAAACTATTGCACTAGCTTATTATATATCATACAATTTATTGATGAGATTCAGGCCCAGTTGGGAACGAGTACAAATATAAACATGTACAATATAAATACATACAAAATGTAAGGTTTTGAGCTCTACATATTTGTATTTATACTCCGTTCAAACTGAGCCTCAACAAAAGCACTTACAAGGATAACTTATTCAGCCATAGGGGGCATCATCACAGCAATAAGTGTGAAGCAGTATTTACACCACCAAAAACGCAAAAACAAATGCAAACTGATGTTGGATTGTGGTTGTCAACCAAAGGGTTCTGATAAATACATTATCTTGTTTTGCTCCTAGAGATGTTTTTCATTATACCACATTGAGCGACGATAATTTATATATATATATATATATATATATATATATGAATAGGAAATGAATGCTCTCTGCATCCAGGAAATGGAATCTAATTCGTGTGAGTAATTATTATACTAATTTAATAATTTAATTATTACAGTAATAATTTAATACGTGAGAATAATTATTATACTAATTTAATAATTTAATTATTGCAGTAATTTAATAATTATTGATTATTACAGTAATTTAATAAATATATACTTAGTGATTATAATTAATAATTACTGTTATTATGAATATTGTTAATAACTAGATATTTACTTTAAATTAAAATTATAAATATTGTTATTAAAAATACTGTTAATAAATTTAGTAACCCGGTTTTAATAATTACTGATTATTATAGTAATTTAATAAATATATAATTACAGATTATAATTAATAATTATTGTTATTATAAATATTGTTAATAAATAGATGTTTACTTTAATTTTACTTTAAATTAGAATTATAAATACTGTTATTAATAAACACTATTAATAAATTTTGTAATTATTGTTATATAAAAAATAATTAAAAATGTTATTAAAAGTATTATTATTGATTATTTAATGAAATATTATAATTACTGACTATTACTGATAAATACTATTAATTTAATTTAATTTTGGTAATTATTAATTTAATGAATATTATTAATAAATCATATTCATAAATTTAATAATTACTGTTATATTAAAAATAACTAAATAATATTATTAAAACTATCATTAATAATTATTTAATTAAATAGTATAATTACTTACTATTATTGACAAATGTTGTTAATAACGTTTTGACAACTGATGGTTCGATCGTCCAGTTTGAACAAATGACCCGTTTTGACAATAAAAATTACAAGCAAAAAATTACAGTACCGTTCTGACCACCAGTTTTCGAGTCTACGGTTCGATTATCCAATTCGAATGGATAGTCCGTTCTGACAACAAAAATTATAGGCAAACAAGTGAGTTTGTGAGGTCCATTAAGTAGTATCATACGTGTTATGTCATTCAAACGTGTGACTCATATGACCCGAAAAAGGAACCGTTCTGGCCACCGGTTTTTGGGTTGACGGTTCGACCATTCAGTTCAAATAGATTGCCCGTTCTGACAACAAAAAATTACAAGCAAAAAATTACAGAACTGTTCTGTCCATTGGTTTTCAGGTCAACAATTTGATTGTTTGGTTTGAACGGACGACCCACTCTAACAATAAAACTTACAGGCAAAAAATTGAGTGTATAAGATCCATTGAGGAGTATCATACATGTTATGTCATTCGAGCGTGTGACTCATCGAACGGTCAAACCGATTTTGGGTCAATGGTTTGACCGTCCGACTCGAACAGATGGCTTGTTCTGACAACAAAAATTAAAAACAATAAAAAAACGACCAAAACCATTCAACAGGTCAACAAGTTGATGGTTCGAGCACTCGGGTCAATGGGTCGTTGACCAATTCAACAGTTTTTGGCCAAGGACTGGTATTGGGGTAAACGGAACTGGTTGCCTGGACAGTTCCGAATTAAAAAAAATGGACAACCCATTCTGACAACAAAAATTGCAAGCAAAAAATTGAGTGCGTGAGGTCCATTAAGTAGTATCATACGTGTTATGTCATTCAAGCACGTGACTCATATGACCTAAAAACGGAACCATTCTGGCCATTGGTTTTTGGGTCAACAATTTGACTGTTCGGTTCAAACGGAAGGCCCGTTCTAACAACAAAAATTTTAAAAAAAATAAAAAAAAATAACCAAAAACCATTGAACAGGTCAACAGTTCGACTGCCTGGGTCAATGGGTCATTAACCAATTTAATGATTTTTGGCCAGGGAAAATTAAAAAACAGCCAAAACCATTAAACGGGTCAATGGGTCGATGATTCGACCACTCGGATCAATGGGTCGTGAATCGATTCAATAATTTTTAGCCAAAGACCAAATAAATGGGTCAACGATTCCATTCCAGCCCTGCGAAGCAAGCGCCTCCGCTAGTACATGATTATTCGAATAAAGAAATTGATTTTATCATTACCAATATTACAATTTACTTGTTTAATCCATCGAAATTGAAGGACAATGTTCACCCTTGAAAATCCACCCTCGACCCCAATATTCTCTTTCTCAATAAATCTTAATCCCAATATCAGCTTTCCACCCAAACCTCGACCTTTAAATGCTTCCGGACTTCTCTCCTTTAAATGCCTCCTGACTTCCATGTCCGTGAAGAGTCCACGAGCTAGAAAACCTGACATTCCAAGTCATTGTTTTGCTTACATGGGGTAGTAGCTAATGTATAAACTAGAGTATCCTGACTTCTAGATTTTAAACAAAATATTTAATATAACTAGATTTTAAATAATTAAAATAACAAAATTATGTAATAAATTTTAAAATTTTCTTAAAAGTAAAAAATAATTATAACATAATATTCAAATTAATATAAATTTTATATTTTACAAAATTAATTATAAAATTATGTAACAATAAATAATTAATATTTTAAAATTTAAGTAATGATATTACTTAAATAACTAAATAATATTACAAATAACTAATTTCACTTATATGAATTAATAATTATAAAAATAACTTTCAAAAAATAAATATTTATTAATAATAGATTCAAAATCTTAATCTATATTTATTATGTATTTATCTATGCTAAGTGACAAATATATGTTCAATAATTATGTATAAATTTGTTTTTGTTTTGTTATTTAATAGAAAATTTTCAATAATTATTGGAGATTAAAATATTGTTATTTAACTTTTTTAAATTTAATTTATTATACTTATTGTATATATTGTATTTTTGTTATAATTTATTCATTAATATTTATTAAAGATATAACTATTATTTAAGATTAAATTATTTATTGACTAATTTAATATATTTTTTATTATTTATTGGATTTTAGTAAATATTATATTGACTGTATTTTATTAGTTATTTATTATATTTTTATTATCAATATACTTTCAATAATTATGCAATTTTGCTATAAAGTTTAAATAATTATTGAAAAATAAACTATTTTTATTTATTACTTATTATACTATTAATTTAATTGAAATTAAGCTCATTCATGGATGACGAGTTAGTTTGGCTTGGTTTTAGGATATTTGGATAACCAAAAGTGGCCTATTCAAGTAAGAGACTTGGTTACAACCAACTAACCATTAGTGAAAACTGATCAACTCAGCTTGTATTGGTTTGGGTCAATTTTCAATTTGGTCCATTGGTTAAAAAATTTAAACTTAAAAAATTAAATTTTAATTTTAAAAAATATAATGGCATTAGTAAAAAATAAATGTAAAAATTAAATTTATGATATAAACTATTTTAGAATAAGAAATATGAGAATTTTTTCACTTTCTCGTATTAACAATTACATAAAAATTATAAAATATTAATATATATCTATGGTTAGATCGTTCGATTTTGGTCAAACTACAAATGGCCAGAAAAAAACCAATCAAACCTAGTCAAGTTATGACCAACTGGGACTAAGTTGATATTATTATTTTCATCTTGTAAAAATATTAAAGTGTACAGAATATAAATAATTATTAATTATTAAAAAATTTTAAAAATATAAAACAATTATACACTATTACTTTTTCTATTGTTTAACTCACTTTAACAAATAAGCAAACTATAGTTAGAGGTGTCAACTGGATTGGATTTGCTCCAACTCAATCCAATCCAATGTGTGTCAACTTACAAATGGACTAGACACAATCCAATCTAAATCTAATACAAACCAAATCCAATCCAATCCATTAAAATGTAAATTGATGGATTGGATCAAATCCAAACAAAATGAAAATTCAAAATTTATATAATAAAATAGAATATGTAAAAAATTAGAAAACTATATTAAAATAAAGAAAATCTGAAAATTACAAAAATATACCCTTCCAGAATTGAAAAAACACTTTTATACAAATGCTTTTACAAAGACACTTTTTTGTAATTATAAAAGTACTTGCATATAAACACTGTTGTAAAAATACTTTTATAAAAGTGAAAGGACTTCCATAAAAATTCTTTTGTTAAATTGATTTCATGTAAAAACTTTTATAGAAGTGCTTTCATAAAAACGCTTTTATTAAAATGCTTTCATAAAACTGCATGATATAAAAATGCATTCGTAAAAATATTTTTGTGAAACTACTTTCATAAAATTACTTATGTAAAACTACTTTCATAAAAATATGCTAACTTCAAATAAGACAAAAGTTTAGCCTCATGATTTTGAACTTGGTTCAGATCAGATTTAGATCGAATCCAAAAATATATCAATTCACACCCCTAACTGTAGTATATCCATAGTCTTGCCGTGATGTATATTGTCCACAGTAGTGAAACATGCTGTATCCACTGCACATCCGTATCTTTAATAGACCCGCTCACCCTGCCACTTTAACTTAAAATGATTACACCATATTCTGCTCCGTTTGATTGGAGATAAGAGCCATCCACAAATATATTGGTTGTGTTATATTAACAGAAGCCTCTTGGAAACTGAGAGATATTTGTAGAGGTTAGGATTTCTGTAATTGAACTGTCAGGCTTTATTATTTTGTTATAATGCACATTCAGGTTCCTTGAATACTAAAGCCCCCCTTGTGGCCTTGCCAACTGCTCTTTCCATTGATGAACTATTTGATGGAGAATCTTGAGTTGTGTTTGTTCCGTGATTCAAATGCTTCGCCCGAGACAAACATTGGGCATGGCTGATCCTGTTGCTGGAAATAAGCGAGTCTATCCCCAGTTTAAACTGGCACCCCAATAAGCTCTCCGAAGGAAGATTTGAAATTTAGACCCCAAATCTCAACCAAATTTACTTGTGTCACATAAGTTGAGAGTTCAATGGATGAAAACACCTTATAACCTGACTTGCCAGTATTTTTGTAAGAACTTGATTTTTTCCACAGTAATTGGTCCTGTCCTACATGTCCCAAAGCATTATCCCGTAAAATGCTTGTTGCAGTTTCAAAAAAGAACTTTGCCAGTTGCCCAAGAAACAAATAGAGTTGCAAGAATCACCAGATTAATGCAATTCTGGACGGGAAATAAACTTAATTCATTCTTCTGTAACTCTGTTTATTCTACAATAGACCTAACTGGAGATGGAAATGCCTCAGAGGTAGTGACAATCTACTAAATAATCGGTCATCTTTTGATCCGATAATACGTGCATATGCAAATCCATCACAGGCAAATCCAACCAACCACAACTTTTTTGAATATAAACAAGAAACAATACATATAAACATAAATGGAGGACCATGTTAATGTATTCAAGAATTTACGAAACTCATCCAAAATGACATTTTCTTTGCATAAGAAACGGGCCTCAGCGGTAGTGACAATCAAATATCATCAGCTCTTGGTCTGATAATACGTGCATCTGATGCATCATTGGCACATACGTTAACATGTATTAGGAATCCCTAATCCATTTCATAATTTAGTACATGAGAATTAGGTCCCAAGAACAGAGATAAAAACAAGAAAAGAAATGCAAAATCAATTTTGTTTTTGAGGTTTGAAGCAAGTAAGCATGGAAAGGATTCCTGCCGCATAAGCTGACTTACAAAAATATGCATCAGAGAGATTCCCATAGACGAGTCATCATACTTCTAAAGAGTGCTGATGTCCCTGTCTGTTCTATCATCACTTGCACGAACCGAATTCCAAATCACCGGTTATACAAGACCAATTGGCAGAAACAAACTTTCAAAACAGTAGAGTAGCAGAGAGGAAAAAGTGGCCTCAGATTAAGTTCTTTTCATAGTAGTAACTCATAGTATATTTAAACCCAACATAGACAGAGAAGCAATACAGTTAGCAAGAATCTAACAAAAAGAAATGAATAAGAAAGCAAATAAAAGAATCGAGTGCCTCAGATTAAAGTTTTTTTCATGGCAAATACTCATAGTATATTTAAAACCATCATAGACACTCGAATCTAAAGATAAGCAAGAGTAACAGAAATGGAAAACCATAGATATGGTTCAAAGAAAGCAGTAGTAAATGCAGGGCTACTCGAAGCTATTCGATTTAATGCATCAGAGAGATTCCCAAAGAACAAGTCATCATGCCCCAGAGGAGTTCTGATGTCCCTGTCTGTTTTATCATCACTTGCACTAGCATTTGTTCTCGCTCCTATTTTCCTAACACCGTCTTGCTCTCCTTAAAAAATCTACCAATAACATAAATGGCTCCAAGCTATTTTCTTTCGTTTATTAGGAAAAAACGACTAAATGCCTCAGACCGGTTTCTTTTTTCACATAAAGTATTCAAACTACTTTTAAAACCATCACAGGCATGGCATCAAAACCATCATCAAATCCAGCCACGTTCCCCAACGGGGACTGGATGGAGGGATTTTCCCTCCGTTGAAGCAACGAGCAATGCAAGAGAAAGCTAAATGAAAGCGATTATCTTTAGAAAACGATAGTACAAATTACCTGATTGAAATTAAAAACCATGAGAAAGAAAGGAAAGACCGAAATGACTGGATCAGCAGAGAAGATAAGAGCTAATTTACAGTTCAAGAACCCCCTCCCAAAGTATAAACAAGATGATGGAAACGGCGCGAGGAACTAGACAACCGAAATGGTTAACTATTAGGGTTAGGGTTATGGTTGCGGCGGGAGCCACTGGTAGATCGAGAATTTATAGAGAAAACCCAATCTTGGGCGACTGCGCAGGAGTGCAAATCGGGCGGACTGGGCCGCTCTTGATCAACCGAGGCCTAAGACCCTAGTAAGGGTGTCAATAGACTGGCTCCCCGTCCGGTACAAAATCAATTTCGAGGGATAGGATGGACCAACAAGACATATTGGATTTGATTAATTCGGTCCAAAATATTTATTAGATTCGATTGGACCTTGAGTTTGGGTTGAAATCAATCAAATCACAATGAATTTGAACAAATTGGACGGTCCAAACATTGAATTGGATCGGTCCAAATTGGTTCAAAACATTCATTGGATTGAAATGGACCTAGCAATGGACTCATATTGGACTGAATCAGATTGGACCAAATCCAATCCAATTGACACTCCTAGACCCGAGGCAAGGTGAGATCCACATTAAAATTTGATGCATTGGAGACAGGAGTTGGATTTGGGTTTGGATTAGTTGGGTTGGGATGAGTTTAAACTTTAAACTATCTAAGGGTTAAGCCCAACGCAAAAAACATAAAAAACCCAACTTTTTAAGCCCAGGCCTAGCCTCAGCCCGTATAACATTGCGAATTTGCAGGCTATGTTGATTTGGGGTTAAGTTGGGCCCGCCCAAGATGCATTTCTAGATTCCCAAAGATGATTAAGGTATTATATTCATACACAATACTTTTTTGGGTAATAGGATATAAGGGCAACTTTTGGGGTTTAATATCAATAAAAGTAATATTTTAAAAAAATTTTCAAAAATAGGTTAACTTTTTAAAAATAATATCAATAAAGGGCAAAAACATTGTTCATCATTTTCTTCTTGCCATTTGTTCACCAGCGCCACTGTCCACCGTCGCTTGCCACCTCCGCCTTTGGCAACGTTGCCAGAGGTGGCCAAAGGCAGAGGTGACGGTGGCAGCGCTGGTGGTCATTCCTTTGCCTAGCGCCGCCACTGCCACCTCTGTTTCCACCCACCTCCGGCAACGTTGCCGGAGGCGGAGGTGGCGGTGTTGGGCTGAGAAATGACCACCAGCACTACCGTCGCTACTTCTTCCTCTGGCCACCTCCGGCAACGTTGCCGAAGGCGGAGGTGGAGATGGGCGTAGGTGGTGGCGGGCAGCAGTGAACGGCGGTGGCAAGCGACAACGGACAACGGTGGCGGACAACGGCGCTAGTGAACAAATGGCAAGAAGAAGATGATAAACAGTGTTTTTGCCCTTTATTGATATTATTTTTAAAAAGTTAACCTATTTTTTAATTTTTTTTTTAAAATATTACTTTTATTGATATTAAACCCCAAAAGTTGCCCTTATATGCTATTATCCCTACTTTTTTTTGGTAAAGGGTTTGACTATGATATGGAAAAAACATGATATGGGAAAAAACTTACCAATAAACTAAGATCATAAACGCGATAATGATTAAGGTGTTATTTATCAAAATTTATGGGTCATACTCGATACAAGGCATATCAAACAATACACTATAAAAATTGGAGGCAGACGTGATTCAACGAAAGATGCTACTCTCCTCATAGAGGGCCCCTCACAACGATCTCACAGGCACATCCCATTGTGTATTGGGAACGTCTCCCATAAATAATAACACACAACTACGGGAGATGTTCCCAATGCATGGCGGGATGTGCCTGTGAGGTCGGTGTGAGGTGTCATGTCACATGTGTGAGGAGCAGATCCGGTCTCAGGTAGTACACCCATTCAAACAAAAACACCAACTCCCAGCAATTTATTGCCTCATTAACACCTAAACCAACATTCATTTTATGATAATAAATTAAATCCATTAACTTTTGTTCAATTTAATGTCCACAACCAATTTAAATAAATAACATATAATATATTCAACCACCCCAATTATAAATTAAAAATAATAATATTTAAAATTAACATTTTATAAACTAATAAAACAAATAATCTATCAAATCCAAATTTAGATAAAAAAATGATTTTTAACCTTAAGAGATTTATACAAATTAAAAAATTAGTAATAAAATAATTATTTTAGTACTTAAAATTTATAAATTCGCACATGATATGTATCATAAAAAATGTATAAATTATTAATTAATATTTTAATTTGTATTAAATAACAATGTATTTATTATTTACAAATTATTTTTTTATTTGTATTTGACGCAATGCACCATTAATAACTTCCCCTTGACCCCTTTTTCCCCAAAGTGTTGGTTGTGGGATTCGATTCCGCAACAATGCTAGAATAAACCAGCTAACACACCAATGAGCCAGCCCTCGATTGGTMTATTTACAAACTATTCAAGAACATAATATAAATAAAATCTATCAAATCCACTAATACACATTTATATCAAAAAATGATAATTTACAAATAAAAATATTAATAATGGAAAAATTACTTCAATAATTAAAAATTATGAATTTACATATGATATGTATCTTCGAAGTTTAATAGATTTGATATATTTTAAGATTATAAATTTTTGTAAATTATTAATTGATATTTTGATTTACATTTTATAATAACACACTTATTGTAAACAAAAATAAAAATATTATTTACCAAACATTTGAGAATTAAATTTTTATTTGAACTTTTTATTAATTAAAAATCTATATAATATGTGTCTTGGGTTGGGTTTTTGATTAATGTATTATTAATAAAGTTGTATGATATCTATGCATCCTATTATAATAATTGTAATGTATCTCTTCATATATACCAATAAAATATATATTTTCTATGCATTTATTCACTATTTATGGTTATTTTGACACTAAATTTAATGATATTAATACTTATAGAATTTATATGTATTTTCATAGCATATCCAAGTGTTTTCATATTTTTCGTCTATATCCATGCGTTTCTAAAGTGTATTCATATCCGTATCCAAGCTATTCGATACAATATTCAATGACGATACTTTAATCCATAATGACTCCACAAGGCCACGAACACAAAGGGAATCAAACTTGTAAGCTCATACAAACTTTGGAGACACCATTATTTCCAGAATTGCCCCAATTAATAATTAATTGGGATAATCAGGTCTGACTCAATAGACCCAATTATTTTGACAGATGTATTTATATATTTATTTAAATAATAACTTAAAACTTAAATTGTAATAATATAGCCTTAAATTGGCAATAAAATAATAAATTATTTATATGTTAATAAATTAAGTGTTTTCTAACTAATGTCATCTTATATATAATAAAACTTATCACTCCAAACATAAAATATGAATAAAATATATAAGAAAACTAGGAAACCCTTAGATATGTTTAGGGTCCATTTAATTTGTTGGTATAGGGGACTAGAATCGGGCCTATTCCTAGCAAAATGGAATATCCCATTTGAGGGAATGGTCATCGTAGTCTTCCTCGTTGGGCTTATTCCAAATAATAAAAAAAAAAAAGAAAATGACTTAATGCTATTGTTCTTTACCCAATGCCAACTCTCCTTGGTAGGGATGTCAATTGGATTGGATTTGGTCAAAATCCAATCGAGTCCAATGTGAGTCCATTACAAATGGATCAAGTTCAATCCAATCCAATGAATATTTTAGACTATTTTGGACCAATCCAATTCAATGTCTAGACCGTCTAACCTGTTCAAATTCATTTTGATTTAGATTGGTTTCAACTCAAACCTGGTCCATTAACACATATATTCTTATCTTATATCAATGGATCTGATATTGGCAAAATCCAACCTAATCCAATATAAATTTGTTACGGATGGACCAGGTCCAATCCAATCTAATAAATATTTTAGACCGGATTGGTCCAATCCAATATATCTTGTTGATCCGTCCAAATTGATTTTGGACTGGACGGGGTCCAATCCAAAACTGATCCATTGACACCCTTACTCTTTGGGAGTCATGCACATCTCATGAAATCCTATTCCAGTTCTTATTTGAACCAAATAGGCAAAAAGAATGAGTGATTCTAATTTCAACTTTAGCGGATTGGTCCAATCCAATATATCTTGTTGGTCCGTCCAAACTGATCCATTGACACCCTTACTCCTTGGGAGTCATGCACATCTCATGAAATCCTATTCCAGTTCTTATTTGAATCAAATAGGCAAGAAGAAGAATGAGTGATTCTAATTTTATTTCTAGGGGACTTCGATTCTAGTTCTGTTTATGATTCTAACTACAAACCAAATGAACCCCTAATAAACTAATCTTTTGGGTACAAGGAAGAACCAAAACCATCCAATTATTAATCGAGACAAAATCATGATGCTAGAACTAGCATAATCAATTTGGTTCGGTTTGGTTGTGCAAGTTGAACAACCCATTGGCAGCCCTAGAATGGACCTATTAGGCCTAGTAAAAAATGCATAGTAAAGATTTCTAGAATTATAATTAAAACATAATAATAAAAGCAGATACCGTTGCCTTTACAATGGGAAAATCACAAACTAATGAGCATGAAAATGCAACTTCGAACTTTTTTACTAGCCATTTTTTGCTCAATTAGCAACCCAAGAGGTGGTGAATTGGATGCCCTCACTTTCTTTTGCTTTAACTATGAAATACCTAAGGGTCCGTTTGATTTGCAGGAACAAGGATCTAAAATCAAAATCAGAATGGTCCAATTCTGATTCCAACCATTTGGTTGGGCTGACTCAGAATCCTATTCCCATTTTTGGTGGAATGGCATTCCCCCATTTAAGGGAATGACCATTCCTCCCCCTCCCTTAGGAATGATCAGAATCAATTCCAATTGATTCTAAATCTGATTTTGATTCCCATCTGGATCAAACATGCAAGAGTAATACACCATTCCAATTCCAATTTTAAAGGATTTTGCTTCTTTTTTTTTTATGATTCCTACTATTAACCCAATGAACCCTAAATTTGGTTCAAGCTTAACCAACTATTTCAGCATAACATGTTGAATCATTAAGCAGAGAATGCAATGGTATTCGCTAATCATTTAAAGCACACTAAACCCTATTAATTCCACTTAGGCTGTGTTTGGTTTGAAGGACAAAGTAGAGAAAGGAAGGAAAATGTAGGGAAATCTTTACATATCTTGTATAGGTTTCCGT